AACCACCCGTTACAACCAAGGTGGGCAGAAGAGCATCTCTGAACGCACAGTACGTCGAACTTTGAGGCAGATGGGCTACAGCAGCAGAAGACCACACCGGGTGCCACTCCTTTCAGCTAAGAACAGGAAACTGAGGCTACAATTTGCACAAGCTCATGGAAATTGGACAATAGAAGATTGGAAAAACGTTGCCTGGTCTGATGAGTCTCGATTTCTGCTGCGACATTCGGATGGTAGGGTCAGAATTTGGCGTCTACAACATGAAAGCATGGATCCATCCTGCCTTGTATCAACGGTTCAGGCTGGTGGTGGTGGTGTCATGGTGTGTAGAATATTTTCTTGGCACTCTTTGGGCCCCTTGGTACCAATTGAGCATCGTTGCAACGCCACAGCCTACCTGAGTATTGTTGCTGACCATGTCCATCCCTTTATGACCACAATGTACCCAACTTCTGATGGCTACTTTCAGCAGGATAATGCGCCATGTCATAAAGCTGGAATCATCTCAGACTGGTTTCTTGAACATGACAATGAGTTCACTGTACTCAAATGGCCTCCACAGTCACCAGATCTCAATCCAATAGAGCATCTTTGGGATGTGGTGGAACGGGAGATTCGCATCATGGATGTGCAGCCGACAAATCTGGGGAAACTGTGTGATGCCATCATGTCAATATGGACCAAACTCCCTGAGGAATGCTTCCAGCACCTTGTTGAATCTATGCCACCAAGAATTGAGGCAGTTCTGAAGGCAAAAGGGGGTCCAACCCGTTACTAGCATGGGGTACCTAATAAAGTGGCCGGTGAGTGTATATGTTAAAAAAAGCAGTGTGTGGAGAAGTTATATCATGACAGTGTTGACTAAAATGATAAAAATGACTAAGACTAAAATTGATTTTAGTCATTTAGACTAAGACTAAAACTAAATTGGGAAGGCAATGACTAAATATGACTGAGACTAAAATAGATTTTTGTCATTCTGACTAAGACTAAGACATTTTTTTTTTTTTGTGAACAACTTTTTTATTATTTTAAACCGGTACATTAGTCCGATAAAGGTAAATGGGGTATATTACATCCTGATACAACAGAAAGGAACACATAGAAACAAAACAAATCAACAAAAAACAGGCGACGACTGGCCCAAGTGGCTGGGGAGAGGGACGTCTGGGCCTCCCTACTGAAGCGTTACCTCCCCCGCGACCCGACCCCGGATAAATATATATATATATAGTGATTTTTCGGCCTCTCGATATAATATCGATCTTTCAGCTAAAAAACAAAGCATTTTTTACCTAAAACAATGAGGGAAAATATGCAATACCTCTGCCAGATAGCGCTATGGAGCCCTTTTGCTGTACGGCTCAGCACCATACCTGTATTCAGTCAGTCACATTTAAAGACATAGACGGACTCCAATCCCATTTCTCTGATTTGTGAAACTTCAATAAAGGCAGATTTCAGCATTTTTTAAGAATCTAGACCACATATTTAAAATACAACTCCATCTCTGATATTTGTTGGGTTTATTTTGATTTGAATTCCACTTTTAACTTTTTTTTTTCTCATTAATTTTTTCCATCTTTAGTGTATCAACATTTGGTCTTGAAATTGCTTCATCTCTGATGCTTTCCTAAAGGGGGAGTCATCTGATATAAACACTATGAAATGATTTCCTGTCACTATGTTACCTGTCAATATGAATTACATAAAAAACAGTTTATTGAAGTTTCACAAATCCAAGAATTGTTTTAATTTGTTTTAGAAGTACTTTAGAATAATCTAGTCCAGGTGTAGGTGTTGTAGTTTCTTAATCATTCTTTATTAATTTCCCAAATTGGAAGCTAGAATCAGAAGCCAGCTTCAGCTTCATTTTGTTCACATGGTGCAGCTGAAACCAGTTCAGAAACAGCCTGTTATGGTCTCATAACTAAAGCTCCATTTCTGCAGCAAACACTGTGATAAAACTGTGAATGACAGAGATTTGGGATCTGCTGACAGACCAGGATCTTTGCAGACTGATGTTAGGCTGATAGTGGGAGATGTTTCCTTTATTGTGAAATTATTAGTGTTCATTTCTTGTTCCACAATCCTGCTTTTCATCTGTATGAGCTCTGACTATTTCCTGAATGTTGCAGTGACAGTAATGTTCCTGTAGTGTTAAAGGAAAAGTACACCCAAAACATGATTAGCCTTCATTTTCTACTCACCCCCATGCTGAACAACACTCTGGAGTACTTTTTTGATATCTCAAATGCATCTGGAGATCTGGGAGGCTTCTTGCTGTCTGCTGACATTCAAATAATGGAGGTCTATGGTGCCCGAGACAGAAAGGTCCATAAAAGTCCACAAAAAACGTGTCAATATTCCTCCATACTGCTCGTCCAATGTATTCCAAGTGTCCTGAGTGGGTAGCGTCCAGAATTTACTCGAAACGAAGTCATTTAGAATGTTTTTAGAGCATAAACAGTAGTGTTTAGGATTTCCTAAAATCGCGTTCATGACGCTACGGAAGCCGGCAGACCAAACCAGACGAAAGTGCGCATTCAGCGTCTGCTCTGCCGATAATGCAAGCGTAGAAGAAGAAATGTGCTCTTTACCTGTGCAAAGAAAGAAACAACGAAAGAAAAATGTCTGAGGACTTCAGTGTTGAGGAAGAGCATGAGTTCTTTGCCGAGCTGAATGCGCACTTTCGTCTGGTTTGGTCTGCCGCGGTTTCCGTACCGTCGTGAACTCGCAGGCGCGTGCTTTCAGGAAATCCTATACACTACTGTTTATGCTCTAAAAACATTCTAAATGACTTCGTTTCGAGTAAATTCTGGATGCTACCCACTCAGGACACTTGGAATACATTGGACGAGCAGTATGGAGGAATAGTGACACGTTTTTTGTGGACTTTTATGGACCTTTCTGCCTCGGGCGCCATAGACCTCCATTATTTGAATGTCAGCAGACAGCAAGAAGCCTCCCAGATCTCCAGATGCATTTGAGATATCAAAAAAGTACTCCAGAGTGTTGTTCAGCATGGGGGTGAGTAGAAAATGAAGGCTAATCATGTTTTGGGTGTACTATTCCTTTAAGGAGAGCACAAGACAGAGCTGCAGCTTCTGTCTCACATACACTTAAATTACAAACAGCTGTGAGGGACCTGAAAACCCCCGCTCTATATTCTGTTGCTTTTCAAAGTAAAATACATCACATAGCATTACACCACATCTCCCTTTCTTTGGGACAAAAGGGTAGACTGCCTTTGTACCAGCAGGTCTTAAAAGTTTACCTGTTCTGTCCCTGATTCACACATGAACATAAAAAAACACACTTAACTAAACTACTTGGTTTTTTTTTCTCTTTAACAAATACTTTGAATATCCGGTTCCTACTAAAGTATCTTAAAGCAGATCAATTACAGCATTCACATCTTAAGAACAAAGTACAATCACATTTCTTTTTTTAAGACTCCTCAAGTTGTTCTTTAATGTACTGATAAGTATCTCACACAGAGCTGCAGCTTTAAATTACAAACAGCTGTGAGGGACCGAAAACCCCCGCTCTATATTCTGTTGCTTTTCAAAGTAAAAGACATCCCATAGCATTACACCACACAAACATGAAATCCAGCAGCTGCTGATGCTTTTTGGGATCATTAGTGATTCAAACACATTCTTCCTCGGTGAACACAGAAATATATCAGTAAACTTGGATTTGTGACAAAATTTTGCAAACATGGTAATTACATTGGAAGTATTTTTAAACAGGCATCGACGCAGCTACCTGTCTCTAACCCCGAAATCCCACATACTCCGTCAGCGCTCCGCTCCGCTCCGCCCCGCTGCGCTCCAGACCGCCTGCGCAAAGCAAAGCCTACAGCCGCCGCTGTGGTCCCGTCCGCTCCGCTCTGAGTTTCTTGGAGATCGTAGAGGGCATGCGCGAGATGAACCAGGGTTTCCACAATTCATTCATTTTTTTTCTTTAAATCAAGGCCTTAATTGGCACTAAAATTATTTAAATATGTTTATCGAAGTATTTATAATTCTTTAATAAAAAATGCTTATAAAAACAATTTCGTCCGATATATTATATCGCGTTTTTTATATTTATTATTATATGTATATTGTATTATATTTGCGTGAAACTGATCATAAAGCCGTATGTTCGGAAAGGATCTCCAGGCGGAGAAAAAGCTAGAGGATATATATATACGTATATATATGTGTGTGCTTACATACATACAGGAGTCATGGAACTGTGCTTACAGTTCCTTCATATTTCATGTACACTAATAACTTGTGTACATGGTTCTGGTTGATGGCATTAAAATCATTTCTAATAGCATTAAAATAGCATTAAATTAGAGTCACTCATTCCTGTATGAACCCTGTGAGCGCTTAATTTAATGACATATTAAAAAAATCCCACCATCATCCAGCATATGTTCAGTTTCTGCCCATATATATATATATATATATATATATATATATATATATATGAATTGTGCTATAATTTCTAGTCACCGATCTGTTGCTGCTATGTTTTAATTTGACGAACCGGAATTTGTCGATGTTCTTTTTCCTGTTTGGTGCGATTGCAATTGCGGATCTTGACCTGGCCGGACCGGAGCGGAGCAAAAAATAGCTCGGCTCCGTAATTTGTCGGTGACGGATGGAGAAGACGTACGTGGACGGAGACGTGCGGAGGAGTAGCGGTGGATGTGGAACAGCTCTCATTGATTTCCATGAAAGACAAGCACTCCGCACGACGTACGTCAGCGGGGCGGAGCGGAGCGGAGCGCAGACGGAGTATGTGGAATCTGGGGGTAAGAAACATCAGCGTATTCCAGCTGCAGCAACCAGTTAATCTATCACACCGGTAATATTCGACGTATTTTCGATTATTTTCTCTCTTTTTGAAGTGTATTGCATAATATGCAGTTTTCCAATCAGATGAGGCTAAAATCCACAGTGTGCATCATCAGGGAATCGTTTCTATCAGGTGTTTCCTACCTATGCGATGTAAGATGATCTGGGGGATCCTGGTGAAATCCAGCAGTAGATGTTGATCGTCCATCTTTTCCTCCGAATTGACCAAACTCCCTTTAAACTCCGTGAATGTTTCTTCAGCAGGAGTTAACTGCTCGGTGATAAACTCTCCTTGAAGCTGGACTGAAGACATTCTCACTGCAAACACTCCCAGATTATCAGCCTCTCTGCAATGACTCCACACACAAGCTAAGCTAATGCTGCTAGCTGCTGCCCGATCAGTACATCACCTCATTTCCGGGTCACCCGCGATGTATGTAAAATAAATGTCCCTTCTGCCATAAAAAAAAGTAAACGAACTAAACTATAATGTTTTAAAGATTGATAGTGTGTTTATTGAAAATAAATGCTGTTGAGTATATTGTTTAAACGCTCTTAGACTCTTATTTTGGTAACGTGTGTATTTCCGTTTCCGCAATGTGTGCTGCTATGTTCTAGCTTGTTTAGAAGTTCGAATAAATATGGTATCCGCCTAAAGATAATACGAGTGCTTCTTTATTATCCATCCACACGAGGAGTGCTGTGCTACTACTGCCATTAACCTCAACAAAGGCATTAAAATCCTATTAGTTTTTTTGCCTTTTTTATTGTACAAAATACAATAATTTACATTTTCAAGTAGGAATCTCCTCTTTTCTTTTCCTTTCCGTTTTATCAGGTTTTATCTGTTCCACTTATCTCAATTTATTTAGGTCTTTTTTTTGGTAGAAACGAATAAGGCAATAGTAACACTACAAATCTGTGGAAGACATAGTAAAGGCAGATTTCAAAAATGGAAGCACAAGGCATTATTGATAAAAAACAAAAAAATAAAAGGAATGGCTGATAATTATTATTCCTCATAATTATTACCATGGCAACAAGGGGATTAATGTTAGGATTAATGAACATCGGTGGGCAAACCCATCAGTATTTCAGTCAGGTATTCGTATGATTCGATACATTTAAGAGATTCCAAATATAACTTGAATTCAGATTTAAAAAGATTGTGAATGATCTCAACACTCTTTGTTTATGAATGAAGAATTTTTCTAAACACAAAATTAGGTTACAACAGAGTTCTATTGTTTTGTTTTTCAATAATATTCGAAAAGTTACCATATCTCTAGAAAATAGAAATGCAATATTTGATTTGAGTCTAAGCAAATCCAAAATGTTTAGTCTGACTGCATTCATAGAAGACATGGTCAATTGTTTCTATATCACTTTCACAGAATGAACATTTATTGTCATCAATATTAAAACCAATTCTTAGTAGTTCTTTTGAGGGGTAAATTGCATTTAAAATATTAAAGTGCGTTTCTTTAGCTTTTGTTTGTATGGGGAGTTTTAGATAAAGAGTTCTCAGTTTTTCTATGATTTTTTCACAAATTTACAAAGAATGTTATTTTTATTTATTTTCCCAGGGAATAAAGTTTAATTTAGACTGTTCCTAATTTTGTGGTTATTGAATTTTTGGTCAGTGATTAATGTTCCATTAATAGATAAATTGGGTAGTTGTGGGGTCATTGGATGATTTGTTATTATATTTTTAATCTGATTAATAAATTGTTATGGTAATACATTAAGTAATCTGGTAAATTCACCTTTAAGAGTGAAGAATTTATATTTTGCACAAAATTGTTCGTAATTTAACATGCAACCATTAGTATCCATAATAGACCAAATACTTTTCTCCATTCACTATTTGTAAAATAGGGATTTATTGCCATGTAAAATGAATCTATTATTCCACATGATAGAGGAATGTGGGGAGTAGTTATGAACATATTTCATTTTCCAGTATAGTAACACTATGAAAGTTTAATGGCCAATTTATGGCTAACGAAATCAGCTAGGAGTACGAGTTTGACAGCACCTATTTTGTTAAATATGATAGGAACACAATACCAGAATATGATAGGCTGTTGTTAGTACGCAATGCTGTGAGGTCACCAGCCGCCATATTGGTACTCCCTAGTTAGACCGGTCAGAATGTAAACATTGTGTGTTTTTTTAGTTTTGAGAACACTGGATCCGTATCCTACAGAGTACAGACTAGCGATGGACGCGTGATGACACGTCACGTCGACCAGATTCGCAAGCGTCACGCATCATCGAACGAGATGTCCAGTCCTGAGGTGAGAGGAGAGCCTGACAGCCTGCAGTTGCCAGAGCGAGCAGTGGAGGTCGTTGCTGCAGACTCGGACGTTCCAACTTCAGTAGGAGGGGAAGTGCTGAAGCAGCCCAGGTTCATCCTCCAGCTGAACCAGAGACAGGAGCTCAACAGACACCTATGCTGCAAAGATCTGCGCGAACCAGATGGACTCCTGCTTATCTGAGAAATATTGTTAGTTAGAAGTTACATCCCTTAAGAAAGAGTCAGAATATGCTCTGGGATATGCACTGGAAGGTTTGGCAGTCTACCCAGTTAGAAAAAAAAAATGTAAACAAACATTGTCATAAGAGTTATTTAAGTTGATTGTTGGCATTTGACCTTTAATCTTGAAAAGAAGTAAAGTAAAGTTATTTAAGAAATCCTGTTTTTTTTTTAGATTGAGTATCTATGTAATTCCACTGTTATAGCCAAAGTAAGGTTAATGTGAAGGTGTGAGGGTCCTTCCCTCTGCTTGGGTTTATTTTGATGTGTATTTGTTTTCTGTGTCTTTGTAGTTTAGTTCTACCAGTGCTGAGTTCCTTAATTATCCCCTTTGCTCCCTGATGCTTTTTTCCCCTTTCCTCTTGGCTTCCTCCCAGTTGTAATCTGTGATGCAGTCTGTGATTCTATTGATGTCCTGTTGATTAGGAGCACAGAGATCTTCTTAAACAGTGTTGGAGAAACAGTCCCTCAGAGCTTCTTCAGCTTCCACAGACCATCTCATCACTGTGCCATTCTCAGCTGCTTCTCTGTGCACCTCTCCCTCCCCTGGAGATGAACCACTCCAGAAGATAAGGGGTGCCTCCTTAGTGTTGGCATTCAGTAGATCCAGTGTTTTATTGTCTCTGGTCTGGCAGGTAACATACTCTGTGAAGTGGGAGGGGGTGGAAGACAGGGAGACACGGTTAAAGTCCCCAGAGATCAGAAAAAGAGCCTGTGGGTGTTGAGTCTGCTGGTGGTAGTGTGCATTCCCGGGGTAGTTTGGCCTCATGCTGGCTGCTAACAGCTCACTGTCTTTGCTGCACAGCGTCTCTTAAATGGTTTGGTGTTCAGGGTTACAGTCTGGAACAGAGTAGCGAGGACACTTCTGATCCTTGGGCCCCTCAAAGAAGCGGCCTTCAAGTTCTGCCATCATTTCTATAATCAGAGCTATGTTATGTAAAATATGCTGGTGGAGATTCTTGGTCATCAGGTCACAGTCGTTCCAAAAAAAAACAAAAAAAAAAACATTTTCTCACAACAATATTTCTCTTCCCATCCAGAAAGCTTTCTTAATTGAAAATGTCTGCAGCAGTGTGGATCACCAGGCTTTATAGAATAGCCAAACAAAAGCCTTGTTATGGCTTAGAAGACATACAAATTGAATCAAAAAACTTGTTAAGGTCGACGTTGGCCTGCAGGTTAAACAGAAACTGGCTAAGACTACTCCAGACATTTTGAATAGAGAAAGCTGTCTGGTATGGAGGACCAACTCTGCCATATATAAAATAAATATAGAATTAAATAAATGCTCAATAAATAAATAAGCATACAATTAATTGCCACCAAAAATACAATCAACAAATAAATGTAAGTAGAAATTAAATTATACAGTGAGACATAAATGTATATAACTATTTTAATTAGCTTCTTTATTTATTTGCCTTTGGAATATTTACCTTATTTTTTTGTCCTTTATAATCTTCAACTTAATTTTTTAATTACTTGTATTTTAAAGTATTTATTTATGTGCATGTTATAATATTTTTGTCTGTTTTATTCTTGGTTTGTATTTTTTTACCTTAGTTATTTCTTCGCCGCTATTTATTTCTGCCTGTCCTTTTTACATTTCTGCCTCATAATGCAAATGGGGGGGGGGGGGGGGGGGGGGGGAGAGTCAACTTCTGCTCATTGGTTGGCGGCCCATCTTCCCAATATTCTGGATGGGATGCAAAACATCTTAAAACTTTACAAAAAAAGTTCCATGGTTTAGTTTTTAACCTTTCTTGTAATGTTCGGTGAACAACGTTTATTGTGAGTTGTTTAAAATTGAGAATTAAATTTTAAATCAGGTAAAATAATCAATGATGGAGTTTTAGTGTAAAGAGAAAAAAATTAATATATTAGTGTTACAATTGAGAGACGGACAGATAATTTATTAATCCCTGATAGTCAATTCACCTGCCGAATTGCAACGATAAAATGATATAAAACAGGATTTGAAAAAAATAAATAACGAAAATATATAAAAACACTCAGTTGTTCAAGAGGCATTAAGAAATCAGTTTAGTTTGCCCTGATTCTAGTTCATTATGTTTATTCAAATACAATCATTCAGACAGCAGACCTGATATCTAATTAGAAATTGAAAATTATTCAGAAATAATGGGATTAATAGTTTATTTCATGTGCATTATTTCTCATATAAGAATAAAAGGGAATGATATGCTAATAAATAAGCAAAACCAGCTACTAAAAGCAGCCAGATTGATATAATAGAAGCATTTAGTAAAGGTGAAATTAAATAAGTAAATATGCTAAAGGTTAGAGCAAGATGGCAGAATTAGCTGGAAGAAGAAAGAACTAGAAGATGGTGGAATAGTATTCAAAGAAAAGTTGGCAGTATGAGGAAAACAGGAAGGAATAAAAAGGAAGAAATAATAAGATCAAGATTCTACTTTGGTCAAACAGGTTTAAATAGAACTTTAATTAAATTAGGGAAACACGCTAAAGGGATATTAGATTTTTATTTTCATAAAGAATCAGTGGATCATGTTTTATTGTTTTGCATCAGAGAAATGAACTGGTATGTAGATTACAAGCCAACAAATTACAACTAAACATTAAAGACCTTTTAGAAAAGGATAAGGCAAAGAATAATCCTCTAATTTAGAATCTTTAGA